AAAAAAAAAAACCCAAAGGTGATTTTTAACTTCTGTTTTCATTGACTTAATTTGACAACCAGGAATGTGGATGTGGATAAACAACAATCCAGTTTCCTTTGTCAACTGGAACACAGGAGATCCTTCTGGTGAACGAAATGATTGTGTAGCTTTATCCGCAGCTTCTGGATTTTGGAATAATATTCACTGTTCTTCCTACAAGGGGTATATTTGTAAAAGACCAAAAAGTAAGTAAGAATGTTCCTTGTGGCCCATATGTTCACAGGCCATCATTTCTTTTAAATATCAAGATGTCATATGTGGGATTATAATGTGATTTTACATCCCTTGCAAGCCCTACCCCAGTGTAAGTGAAAAACCCACTCTGCCCTGGTGCTCAGCTATCCACAGCTCTGAGTGAGCAGAGAGTTGCCTGCTCAGCTGACATAATGATGTTGGTATATCAGTGCATTTCTAATGGGATACCCACACATAGGGACTGTCAAGTTGTAAGCGGTTTGGAGAGCCAGTTGACAAAGTCATCCCTACCAAGGGGATAGGGTCAAAGTTCCAGAGAGTTTTCAGATTTTGTTATAGAATAAATCGTGGAAGACCAATGAAATCTCCTTCTGAGATTAAGTGGCAGACCCTGTGAAGACACAGTTTGGGGGAATTAATAGTGTGATATGCCCACGACGTGGTACTACCTAAACTCTAATATTTTCACGCCAGTCCACTTTATATAACATCCTTCCGAAGAGATAAAATTAATTAGGGAATCTATTTAAATAAATGAATTAGGTAAATTAACACTCTCTCCCCAATAGATCTTGTTATTTTGGAAGTAGGTAGTTCCTCAGTCTGTTAAAACTCTGTTCTGAGACACCACACTCTTTGGTGCAGTGTTGAAATCTTAGTTTACTTTTCATTCCAACACGCTGTGGTACCTTAGGCTTCAGTGGGCCAATTTCAAAAGATCTAGCCAAGAATACATGATTATTGGATAGATTGGATAGATTTTGAGTGTCAGTATCAGTGGCTCAAATGCAACTCACTGGATCGTATTTTCAGGATTTCCATTGTATTTAAACTCTCCCTACAACTGTAGGATGCCGATATAGTATGTATATAGATAGATAGATACATACATACATACATACATACCTACATACATTCATACACATAAGTCTTGTAGCCTCTATCATCTATCCTATATCGTATAAGTCTTGTAGCCTCTATCATCTATCCTATATCATATATTATATATATATTGTATCCTATCTATACATACATGTATCTATGCGATACATCTATATCGTATCCTATCATATCGCATCATATCATATCACCATGAACAAAATATGGAGGACTCCATGTATCTGTGAGCCAAATAATACTCATTATCTACATGCAATTATTATGGGTTTTTATAAGTATTTAATTGATTTCTTATTTCACAAACAGTTGTTGATGCTGAACCTACTCATGCATTAATTACCACAAAAGGTAAGACCATTCATTATGAAATTTTAAGATCTGTATTAGTAATGTATCAATACAGTTTGCTTGTTTTAACAACCATGATAATCCCTTCCCACACCCCCCCTGTACTCGCAGTAGAATTGCTTGGGGGTACATTAACCTTTGTCATTATGTCATCAGCCTTCCTCGAATGATGCTCTAGAAAAGCAGGCCTTGGAGTCAGGTCTGAGTTTTTACCATAGATATTACTGAAGACATTGCTGTGTTGCAGAGCTACCTTTTGGAACCCACGGGGGAAATTTCTCTCGAATCTTTGTGGGTTTTT